GGGCGGGGGGGGTGTGTGGGTGAGTGGGTCCGCTTTTTAAAAAATAATCCACTTTTTCAAAAGATCTGCCCTTCTCGAAGCGAGCCCTGGTTTTGCAGCATTTATTTGGAGCATTTGATTCTAATTATCCGCGGAATCCAGCCTTCTAATTGCGACTGGCAAAAAGCAACTCCCCAAATTCCAGTTTTAGCTGCTGCTTCTCCCCAGCCCCGCTACCCTCTGGAAAAAGAGGGTCAAGTACTATATTTACAGGAAAAAAACCCTAGAAATTGTGCGAGTGCTTCAAGAACTCCAGCATTCAAAAAGTAGCAGGAACGTGGTGGTTTTGAGAGCATTTTGTTTAATTACTGAGATGTATAATCACCTTGAAATAAAGTGTATGCTTTGAATTTAAATGTAACACTATTTAAATGTGCCTGAATGTCCATATGCCTTCTAAGTGAAAATGAATATATTCCGTTAAAGTGCAAAGTGGGATTTTATTTTACTTAAGAATTCTCTCGTTTCCTTATTAGTAATTTCTCAAGATTTCAGCTTTCAGTTTGCAGAGTCGCAAAGTGAGTTACCTTTTGGACAAAGGTTGTTGGGGTTTTTTTAAATACAATTTTACAAAGTGCTATTTTAAAAATTATTGACTTTAAGGCTTAAGGCGTATTATATATGTTGAACTTACAAGGAAGGATTAATTGAACTTCTCTTTCAGGGCCCAATCCAAAGCTTAATGAGACTGAGGAAGGGTTTCTGTTTCCCTGGGCTTCAGACCCGTGGCTTTGCAGTGCTGCTGGACACTTGGCAGAACTTTTTTTTTTTTTTTCCTCTTGTGACATATAATTAACAGACTTTTCTATAATGCCTGTTTCTTTGGGTTCTCAGAGCTCTTTAGTAAGTTTACCTTACTGAAATTCTGTGAGTCAGGTAAATTGTATTTCATCCATTTTAGAGGTGGCTGAGTCAAAGCAATAATCACTATTTTTAGTCCATTTTTTCAAAGACAGCCTCTCCTGCGGAGTAGTCTCCTTGGAAGATTCAAACCTGATTGCATGGTCGAGGCTGGGAAGGGTTTTGTGGGATGCTCAGAGCTTTGGGGCAAGCCCATGGAGGTAGGAACAAAACCAAGAGCCTCTATTTTCTGATCCCTGCCTTCAACTGCAAGTCAAATTCCTGCGAAAGAAGCCCCCAAGGACAGCAGGAATTGGAGACATTGGTGTTCTTCCCCCTTGCATTCTGCTGCCTTCCACAGCTCCCCCGCTCTGCCTGAGGCAGGGAGTTGCATTTCCCAGCCCACACGCTTGAATTCCTCTTTGTCCAGTGCAGGTAGAGGAGGAGGACAACTTTTGGTAGCTGCTTCCTCTAACTCCAGAGATGGGCACGGGGAAGAGGTAGTGCCTGGAACCAGAGCAGGGTACGTGTCCTGCTTCACATCTGGTTTGGTGATCTTGCACAAACCATCCCATGTCTCTGAGCATCGGCGGAGGGAGCAGTGCTGCCCTGCCTCGCACACCCAGCCGAGAAGCAGAGACAACTCAGGGAGAGGAGGGAGCTGAAGCACCTGGGAAAAGTCAGTAGCTCCCATTTCCTGAGAAGTTCACTCATCCATGAAACAGAATGAGATTACGCTGGGACAACAAGTGGGTTCAAGTGACATCATCCATTTTAGTGGGCCCCATGTTTAAATTCTGTATGACAAAGTACCAGCGGTGTTTGCACAGGGTTGGGCAAATGATGGAGATGCAGGGCAGGTCTTGCAGTGATCCCACAGGATGTGTCATCTAGACCCAGCCTACTGCAGGGCAGGTCCTGACATAGGAATTTCTGGGAAAAGGGTGCAGATCTGGGAGGGAAGAACTGAGATTCCTGTTGCCCAAGAGCCTTGAAGAGTACACCCAAGTAGGGTATGTATAGAGAGGATTTGGTGAAACAGAGCCAGCTGTTCCTGACAGAGCAGGCACTGCAGAGGTCCTTCAGCTGCCTGTCAATATTGATAATATTGCTTCATTCTCTTTAAAGTCTGGCATGGTCTCCAATAAAGGTCCTGGCCATCTCACACCAGTGTTGCTGGGGATCAGACACTAAATACAAGGTCTGTGTACTTGGCTCCATCACACATGTCACTTGTCACCTGGGAACCCTCAGAATCCCCATAGGATGGAGGTGGCTGGACCTCCCATCCCAGTTCCTCTCTGTCAGACCTATTTGCTACACAGGAATAAGTGTGCATGTGCATTGTTGACAGAGCACCACAGATGTCAGGGAGGAGAAATTTCATCTTGAGTAGAAGACAGGGAAGGCTTTTTCAGAGCATGAGAGCATGCGGGAACCGCTGCACACGATGGGATGTGCTCTGCAATTGCTGCACTTCTTCCCTGGCTGGACAGAGGCCCAGCCCAAAGGTGGGCTCTATCGCTTAATCTGGTCAAGCAGTAAAGTTATCATTTTTCAAAAATTGGCTACCTTTGAACTGCGAGCAGATTTTACATGGGAATTTCAAAGAGCAAATAGAAAGAGCCTTACAGTGGAAGAGAAAACAACCCCTAATCAGATAAGAGTAACCTATGCGTCGTGTTAAAATAAACCTCTGACGGCTGCAGGATTAATGCTCTGCCCAGAGGATACAGCAGTTCAGTGGCAGCTCAGAGATTGTTTAATCCTTTTCAGGAAAGCTCCTGCTATCTGAAAAAAAATATATAAAAATGACCTGTGATAACTTTTAACTAATTTCAATGAAAGTAGCAGAGAAGAGCCGAAAAGCTTTGCTCTCAAGATGAACTGTGGTGATGGGTGCAATCTTACACTGTGTGCTTGTGAAGGCTCCAGCACACAACTGGTGCCTGCTTCTGCAATTTAAAGGCTAAATTTATATGGCTCAGCTGCTTGTAGATCAGTTTAGGTCCAGAATTTGTCTTCTGTTCACATGAAATAAGCCTTGCTGCTCTGAACAATTCAGGAGTAAAAGGGACAGAACCTTTTTTCAAATTTTAATTGACACTTGGGGTATTTAGTCCTCGGCATTTCCACAGCTCCCACCACTGTGCTTAGCTGTGCTCTCGAAATTCTTGTTTTCACCTGCACAGCAGGAGTGAAAAATGACTGTGTGCTGTCACGAAGGTCACTGTGTGCTCCCGCCACAGCAAGCACAAGTTTTTATTGCACAGCCTCATCCAAAGCCCGTCATTAGAGGTGCTGTCATGGACTGTGAAGACCTGGGGGGCTCAAGGCTCCCACCACTGTGCGTGGATGAAAACTTGCACCCCTTGCACAGCTGCTGCAGTCTGCTGAGAACTGGGGGAAAAGCAAGAGGCTTAAATAATAGTTTAATATTAGTTTTTACTGTGTTAATGGGGTGCTTAGCTCTGGCATCCCTCCTTTTTCTGGACAGAAATAGTTTGGCAGCTGCAGGGCGAACAATGGAGGAACATGTCCCCCAGCAGCTCTTTTCCAACCCATGAACATTTTACCTGGCGTTGATACAAGAAACTCTGCACACCTGCACCGGGCAGGGCTTCACTGACCTCTCTCCTGTTTGAAATGCAAGCAGAGTGCATGGGATTCCTAAGCCCTTTTCTCAGTTTCATCACAGTAGCAGAAATCAGAGAAAAAGGACTTTTATTTTTAGAAAGCTTTGACTTCAGCGTGCATCAAAGGCAGGGACGGCTTCATGAAAATCTTTACATGTTACGTTGGGCCTGGTGTGGAAGTTCTGCTGAAATAAAATAAAAAAGCAGTAACAAGTGCTTTTATGAATATTAATTCTTTAATATCCCAGTGGAAAAAGTTAACTTGTGGCTTGTTCTGCCTTTTTATCTTGCAGCTTTCCCAGCCTAAAGTTGCACACTGTGGTGCTGGCAGCCAAGGACCCGGAGGTGAAAGCAATTACAGACCCGAAAGGGACGGCCTCGTCTTTCGGTCCCAGAAAACATGCATGCCTAAAGACCAAAACCAGTGGAACGGAAAAGATATGTCATTGTGTTGTTTCTGTTCAAATATTCTACGATGCCAGCAACAAAACAAAATTTGCTTTTGTGGGATCAACTCCCCACATGTATGTTACATGTTAAAGGTCAGATGAGATGATGGCAAAAGATCTCTTCTTTCCTCCTGCACGGCACAGGCTGGACGGCCCCTCTTCAAAATAATGGAGAACCATAATTCTTTTAATTATGATCACTGTGATTACTAATTGTTTGTCCTGTGATACCACTTAGGAATCCCTCTTCTGAATCAGCACTTCATTACAGATACTGTACAAAGACAGGAGGAAAAAAAGGTAATTCTTCCTCTGAAAATCCTTTTCAGTCTTAATCCTGCTTACCTTGGAGTTAAAGATCAGATTTCCACAGGGAAGGATCAGGGATTTTAATGGAAAAAATATTACCGCTGGAAAAATCTTAACTAGTAGAAGGAAGCTCCCAAATTCTTTGCAAGATTCCCATCCCTTGTTTAGCAAACACAGCTGAATGCTCAGCGGGATTGTCTATAACTGCATTATACATAACTGAATGTATGTTTTCTTTAGAAGAGTCCCCAAATGTTAATGCTGCTTTACAAAATAGTTATTTCTGCGCACATTCACTTTCTCTGTTTCATTTAAACCCAATTCCTGGCAGCCAGAGGGGCGAAAGACTAGACCTGAATGAACACAGAGTAATTTAGGGTGCCAGGGACAGCAGGGTTGAGGTGCTGGTGGGGACAGCTGCTGGGTGCTGTGACAGTAAATGCTTGTTTCTCTGTCACTTTTGCAGCTGTTTGGAACACAGCAAAATAGGGTCGGGCGGGGGGATGTGGCGGCGCGCGTTTTGTTGAATGAAGATCAGCATCAATGATGCCTCAGCGCCTGCCTGCTGGCCTGACATTTATGAATCGCTTTCCCTTTGAGACTTTAAGGCTCAGAGCTTTGCTCTTAAATATCTTG